CATGGTGAAGGATTCTGGGTTCTGATTCAGCCCGTTTCTTGGCATTTCTCCCTGGGAATCTTGTAGCAGTCCCACGTATGTCAACTCTGAAAACACACAATATCCCTTCGTCTTCTCCACATCTAAACATCCGCTGCCCTTGAAGTCTCTCCAGATTCCATCTTGGAACCCACTTGATTCCTTCCATCTATTGATCGGGCAATTCAGATGCCGATTTGCCTGGAAAGAATTTTATTTCGACTTTCTGTGTCCTCTTTAAGAGCTTTCTGAAACCGGGTAGTTTGCCGTTTAAAATTGGTTTTTTGACAAAATATTTTTATTCTTCAACAGCCACTTTCCAACTTGGCTTGTCGGAAGCCAGCTGGGAAGGTCACACCCTGGGACCCCCGCAACTGTCATAAATACATACCAGTTGCCAAGCGCCCCAAATTCTGATCACGTAGCTGTGGGGATGCTGGGATGGGCGTAAGTGACATGTTGCAAGTCACTTTGATCAGTGTTGTAACTTATGATTCATTTAATGAATCATTCTAACTCGAGGACTAACTGTACAGCTCCGATTTGAGCAGCATATCCTTTTTTTTTTGCATCCTCTTGTCTTCCTTTCTGCAGTCAAAGATTGGGGTTCCAGAGCCCCCCCATAATTGCAGGACAGGGCCCCGTTTTAACATCTGGTCCTCTTGGATCAGCTTTGATCCTGCTCTGTGCCCACAATCATGGGCGATGTGGACGACTAATAGATTTGTTGGAGCTTTTCCCAAACTAGATCCTTGCAGACATCACACCTGTCCGGAGTAACACCGCTGGGATCTACTTCCCCGGCCCTGTCTCCCCCCCACAACACCTAGGCTCCCCACCTGTTCTTTGGGGTAGAGACCTCTTTGCATATGTCAATGGGTCTGGTTGCCTGCCTTGATGAACTCTGCGTGAATGACTTGGTGTGTGTGTGTGTGTGTGTGTGTGTGTGTGTGTGTGTGTGTGTGTGTTTCAGCTGACAGCAGCATCTCTGCCTCTTCCCCACCAATGGCAGTGCAGCCGGTCTTTGAAAGCATTACATCATTGGCAGCCAATGGGAAGCTGGGGAAGGGATGCAGCATTTAGAGCAAAAGGGAAGGGATGGAGAAAGCCCATCGGGTGGAATCCAACTCTTGTGAAAAAAGCAAGCCCTGTTTTTCTAACTGAACTTTCTTTGGAGCCATTTAATCAAAGGGAATTTGACCCCCCTGGCTCTTGTGCCCCGTTCTTTCTTTCTTTCTTTCTTTCTTTCTTTCTTTCTTTCTTTCTTTCTTTCTTTCTTTCTTTCTTTCTTTCTTTCTTTCTTTCTTTCTTTCTTTCTTTTTCTTCCTTCCTTCCTTTCTTTATTTCTTTTTCTTTCTCTTTCTTACTTTCTGTTTCTTCATCTTCTTCTTTTTCTTCTTCTTCTCCTCCTTCTTTTTCTTCTTCTTCTTCTCCTCCTCCTCCTCCCTCTTTTGGCCTGGGTCAAAGGCAGTTGGGCCCCATGGAGCCGAGACATGACATCATTGCCTCCCCCTTTCCCCTGGAGAGGCTGGGGAGAAATGGAGAGGGTGGGATTGTATGCTTAAGGCTCAGGTGTTGGCCAGGAAGGCAAAACTCATCTTTATGCAGAAGGTTCCCTTATCTAAATCTGTCATTATTATTCATTACCCCAGCAGGCTTCGCCCACAGAGGCGATTAACCCTTTGCGGAAGAGAGCCGGTTTGTTAAAGCTTTCCCCCCCACCACCACTCCCAAAGAAAGCAGATCCGACATTTCCTCCTCCCGTTTCCCCCCATAACCACTCCCCACAGGGGCAGCAATAGCACAGACCCCTTGATAAAATCCGTCCTTTACATAGTTGCACCCTGAATACAAAAGCAGCAGAGTCATTATCACATGAAGTGTTAGCACTGCTTTATACAAGGCCACACTTGGAATACCGCATCCAGTTTTGGTCGCCACAATATAAAAAAGATGTTGAGACTCTGGAAAGAGTGCAGAGAAGAGCAACAAAGATGATCAGGGGATTGGAGGCTAAAACATATCAGGAACGGTTGCTGGAATTGGGTATGTCTAGTTTAATGAAGAGAAGGGGTGCCATGATAGCAGTGTTCCAATATCGGAGGGGCTGCCACAAAGAAGAGGGGGTCAACCTATTCTCTAAGGCACCTGAAAGCAGGACAAGAAGCAACGGATGGAAACACATCCAGGAGAGACGCAACTGAGAACTAAGGAGAAACTTCCTGACAGTGAGAACAATTAATCAGTGGAACGACTTGCCTCCAGAAATTGTGGGTCTTCAAGAAGAGACTGGACAACCATTTGTCTGAAATGGTATAGGGCTTCAGGCCTGAGCAGGGGGTTGGACTAGAAGACCTTCAAGGTCCCTTCCAGCTCTATTCTGATTGAGTGAGCTTGTATCGCAAACGTCATAATGCACGCATTTTCAGCCGCAGAGTTTAGGAACGGGCGTAGGGTCTGCCAAGTAGCTTGGACAGTTGACAGTAATTGCTCCAAAGTCCTCCAGAGTCTGGGGCCAGTTTAAATTTGGCTTGTGGAGATCCTGGTCCAGCATCTTAATACTTCACCACGGTGAGCAGTAGAAAAAAAAAATAGAAGGGGAAGAATTTTGCATGTGCTCAGCGTTCTCTCTCTCTCTCGGTCTCTTGGCTGCGAGACTCATCTTCATGGGGGTTTTTTTTTCAGCTGAATGCACTCAATTGACTAGGTAATCAGAGCACCGAGACTCGGAAGGGACTCGGCGGTGTCTGCCTTTCCATCACACCATTGGGATCATGTTAATTTTCCACGTCTTTGTAAATGTATCCTCATGCCTATGAAGTAAGCGTTTGCACCCACATGCCGGTGCGCAATTGTTGGCAAACAGGTTGGGATTCATTCTGTGGGCATGCAAGAAGTCTGCCCGGTTTGTTTCAGCTTTGTTGGCCGAGTTGTCGGGTTGTTAGGAAGATTGTGAGCCAGGAAACCGTTTTTTGTCTCCAAAGGGGAGAGAAAGCAGAGCTGGGTGGCAAGCGATTAAAATTCTTTCTTTGCTTCGAGTGATGCTGTCATCCCCTGCCAATTTTTCCCCCCTTTTAAACGAGGTGGAAGTCATGCTGTTGAATTATTATTGCTGTTGTAGAAATGTTCCTCCTTCTAAGTGGTCTTCTGAGGTTGTGGGTTTAGGGTTTGAGGACCTCTCCTTCGAGCCAAATATTAGTTCAGCTTATTACAACGTTGCTACAACGTAGGGTGGCACCCATCTCTAAATCCAGGCACCGTAAACAATGATACGATTGCCAGCAAAATTCCACTGCAATAACATTAAAAAAAAAAACCTACAACTCAGAAAAGCTAAAATCAAAGAGGACATTTAAAAAAGATACACACCCCGGCTACTATAGCAGCTGAAAAAGGGATTTTTTTAAAAGAGGTTGATGCCATTAAAGAGCAGAGAACAGTGGGTAAATGTTTTAGGAGGAGCAAGGCAGAAATGAGCCTTAACTTCACCATCAAGCTTGGCTGTCAGTCTGCCTGTGGCCTTCCGGGTGCGCTTCAAGGTGTTAGTAACAACCTTTAAAGCACTCCATGGCAATGGACCTAGGTATTTGCAAGACCGCCTCCTACCAAATACCTCCCTTTGACCAGTCCGCTCCCACAGAGAGGGCCTCCTTAGGGTGCCGTCGGCCAGTCAATGCCGGCTGGTGACCCCCAGGGGGAGAGCCTTCTCTGTGGCAGCTCCTGCCCTCTGGAATGACCTACCCCCCTGACCTACATACAACTACGGACCTGCGCCTCTTTCGCCGAGCCTTGAAAACCCATCTATTCCATGCGGCCGGCCTGGCGTAGTTCTGATTGTGTTTTGGTAGGGGTTTTTATATGGGGTTTTTTAGAGCAGGCTTTTTATTTAATATTTATTGTGATTTTTATTATTGCCTGTTCACCGCCCTGAGTCCCGTAAGGGAGATAGGGCGGTATATAAATTTAAATAATAAATAAATAAATAAATAAATAAGAGCCCTCCTGAGATACGTGCAGATTCTTGCTTTCTACTATACCGAGAGGGTCTGCCCTAAGCCCTCCGTGCTCAGGAGAGCAGGGGAGGGAAGCAGCTGCTGCAATAATTGGTCAAGCAGGGTGGAGGGTGTGTGGTGGCCCTGCTGTGTTTGCCCGCTGGCAAAAACATTGGCTATCCTCCATCTCTCTCTCGAGAGGCTAAAACCACACCAGTGTCTCCCCAAATAACCAGCTCTGTGCTTGGAGAAGCAGAAGGATGATTGCATCCTGCAGGAGAGTGAGGGGTTACGACCGGAGACAAGCCTTCAGAGGAGACTCGTTCTGGCTTTGGCTGCAGCCACTGGCTCCAATGCGCACCAGCCAAGCCGGGGACAATCGAGCGGATCTCGCAGCCGAGGTGTCTGCTGCCAACCGGCCACTCGCCGCCCTCGAAACCACTTCAACAACTCATGTTCGCCGACAGGCCTGTTTCCTTTTGGCTGCCTTCCCAGTTAGCAGGAACGCAGCCACCATGTGGGCGCGATTCAGGCATTGCCCCGTTCCGTGCTGAACCAAAGTGGCTGGGAGAAGCGGCCATGTCGGTCCGCCGTTGGTTTTGCGTTTGTGCGGCCTTTGCTTAAAGGCGTCGCGAAAGAGCTGGGCCCAGCGTGGCTTTCTGCCTCCGAAGTAAAACAAAACAAAACATGGTTTGCAGCGGTGAAGTTAGATTGCGTGGCGGTCCCGAGACAAACCAAGTTACTCATTACTCCGGTTTGCCTTTCAAACATAAGTGGACTGTCCGATCAAGCTAACTTTGAGGAATCAATCCGCCAGTCCTGGTTTTTTTCCTTTGTAGTTAAAAAAAAATCACTTTTTTCTTCAAAAGCTTCTGTTTTGAGGTGCCGCAAGTATCTCTTCAGAGGACGGGGGGCTCTCTTCAAAAGCTCTACCTTTCATTCAGGGTGGTTGGCGGCTGACTTAAAAGTTCTTTTCCTTCTTCTCGGCAGTTCTCCAAGGAGAAATACATTCTTGACTCCTCGCCGGAGAAGCTTCACAAGGAGTTGGAAGAGGAGCTGAAACTCAGCAGCTCAGACCTGAGGAGTCACGCCTGGTATCATGGCCGCATCCCCCGGGAGGTGAGACCTTTGGGACGAGGCCACCTCTGGCCAACACGGGATCGGAAGTTGGGTTGATCAAGAGAAGGGAGGGGGATCAGCTGGGTGGTGCTGGTGTCCTTCACTCAGCCTGGGTGGAGAAATGGAGGGACATGTAGTTGACTCTTTCCCAGGATAAGGAGGCTGACGGTATAGACGTAAATAAGACTGCATCACATTCTTACTAATTGTACAGAGAAAATAAATGTAAGCTAAAAGCTCTTTGGAGGTGAGGTTACTGCTGGCTTCTGAATGGGGCCCAAGAGGAACCTTCTATATTATTGGGGTAACCAAGGGTGCACCTCAACATCAGAAGCAGATACTCAGGGACAAGCACTCTCAAACGTTTCTAAAACCGAAGCAACATGTCAAATGCTTACTCCGGCTTCCTTTCCAGTGTAGGGCCAGGCTTATATTCTCTGCAGATGCTCAGAGGCACTGCTGCAATCTTTGCACCCACGCCCTGGCACTAGAGGACTAAATAGCGCTAGCTAGGTTCCTTGGATAAACCCTAACACTGGATATTTTTTTTAAGTTATTCATTGAATTTTGTATTTATGTTATTAATCGAATTTGGACTCAGCTCACCAAAGCCTGAGCAAGTAGGGCAGTTCTCCCAAGCAGGGCACACACCTCTTCATCCCCATTCTGGATTTATTCTTTATTTATATTTTTTTTCCCACAGGTGTCGGAAAGCCTGGTGCAGAGGAACGGGGATTTTTTGATCCGCGACTCGCTCACCAGCCTGGGCGATTACGTGCTGACGTGCCGCTGGCGGAACGAAGCCCTCCACTTCAAGATCAACAAGGTGATGGTGAAATCCGGCGAAGGGCGCACCCACATCCAGTACCTCTTTGAGCAGGAGAGTTTCGACAACGTCCCGGCCTTGGTGCGCTTCTACGTGGGCAACCGGAAGCCCATCTCGGAACAGAGCAATGCCATCTTCTACTGCCCCATCAACCGCACGTTCCCGCTGCGCTACCTGGAGGCCAGCTACGGACTGGCCAATGGGAAGCACAGTAGCTCCCATAGCCACTCTGGGCAGAAAGGGGGGCACATCAAAAGGAGGAGCATCACCATGACGGACGGACTGACCGCGGACAAGATCACCAGGAGCGACGGGTGTCCCACCAGGTAAAAAAAAAAAAAAAAGTCTTGGATAAAACGCCCATCTTGGAGTAGGGAGGTTCCTGCCCACATCCCAGAAGGAGGGATGATTGTGGGGTGAATCCTCAGTTTTGCAATGGGGTTTACTCCAGCCCCAATGGAGGAGTTAAGCTGGAGAAAGACGGCTTTGTTAATTCAACCAGATCGGAGTTTCCGCTTTTCAAAGAAATGCAGTTTCTGGGTTTGTGTGCCGTTTCTTTTTTCAAAGCAGCCCCTGAAGCTGGGCTTCATTCAGTGGCCCCCATGCTACAACTCTGCTCAGTTCTTGGGGAGGGGGATTTTCACCCATTTTAATCTCTTCCTCTCTTAGTGTCTCCTTGCCGCATCACCGGGACATCATTCGGAACTGCGCTGTCAGTGTGGACCAGATCCAAGACCTCCACTCCCCAATGTCACCCATCGCCGAGACCCCAGCCACTCCAGCTTACAGCACTGGTAGGCAGATCATTGTCTGAAGGGGGCAAAAAAGTGTTTAACATGTATAAAAGATAGGTTTCAAAGATTCAGAACACAAAACACAACATTGTGTCTCAAAACACAATAGCTGTGACTGCATCAGACCTTTCAGCTAACCCGTTTTCTGGGGTTTGTATCACGCGTCCAATTACAGGAACCTGCCTCTAACTACAATGACCCCAAAATGGCAAAATGTGTGTTGTGGACAGTGTGACACAACTTCAACCCTTGCGTGCTTGTGTTGTGATCATGCAAGCAAGAATTTGGGGGCCTGCGATGTTGTAACACCCATCTTGTTATTTTCCTCCCGTTACTCCACCGTGCAGAAAGTCGTCCGTCCGACCACAAACACACCGGTCAGCTGGGTGCTTGCAGGATGCTGAACCACAAAGATTCTAGCTGAAGTTCAGTTTTTTTTTTAAAGCTTGTGAGAATGCAGCCTCCAGGTTTTCACTGACCCAGATAAGCCTCTTGTTTTAAAGTCGCAGGCACCATAAGGGAGAAGAGGGTGATGATGAAATAAAATAAATTGTAATTGTCTAAGGGTGACTTGTAAGAGGTCATTCTGTTCTTCGGAGACTTTAAATTTAAAAGGCACTTAGACCAGAAAACCCTTCCAATTGGATATTCTTTAAAAATAAAATAAAAAAGCAGAAATCATGCAGCAAATGTGATTATCTTAAAAATTATGACTTGAATGCAGAAGGTTCCAGTTCTGTAGCTTTAAGCTGAAGCTGAAACATTTGGATCCACGCTTACGAAGATACAACATTCATAACTTTACTAGTTAAACCGATTCCCCCATACGTCTATTTGAAGAGTCCTAATTCTTCAGAACTACTGAGTTCGTTCAACTAGTAGCAACACCACGTTAACTCACATCACGGGCACAACGTCCCTTCGGTGCAAAATGTGCATTTCAATTTCACATGCATGCACGCCTTTCAGAGACGTTGCATAATGTTGTGCTGAGCTGTTCTTGCACCTTCAGGCCCTGCAAATATGCAACCTTGGTTAAAAGCAGGTTTTTCTGCTTCTTTTTTTTGTTGTTGTTTTTTTTGCAGTTACTCGTCTCAAACCACAAGCGAGCCAAGCTGGCAACGGTGCCACCCCGTCATCCCCGGTCATCCGACGCTCTAGCGAGCCGCAGCTATGCCAGGGGAACGGCAGTAAAAGCGAGCTGTCGGACAGCACCCACTCGACCCCTTCCCACGGATGCTCCAGGGCGTCCCCTTCTCCGTCTGCCAGCAGCTACAGCGACCCAGATTCAGGACATTATTGCCAGCTTCACCCGCCCTCTCCGGTCCAGTGGGACAGGCCAATGCCCGACAACAAAGTGATGCCAACCAAGAGTTACGTGGAGAGGCTAAAGGGGGACGAATGCCAGCGAGGATTTATCCTGAACGGTTCCGAAGGAGAAGCTGGGCCCAGGAAGAGGCCGGAGCAGGACATGATAGGCTTTGTGGTCCCGGTGGTGGAAAGGACATCCTCGTTCAATCCCGCGCTGTTCCACTCCTTGCTTATTCCAGGGGAAAATAAACCTCTGGAAATGATGGTGCTGAAGAAGATCAAGGAACTGCTTGCCGAAGGGGACGCCAGGACTCTCGCCAAGCATATCACCCACGTGGATTGCCTGGTATGGGGAAGGGCACAGTGGGAGGGCTTGATAGGAAAGGGAATGCTCTGGTCTGGCCCTTCTCGGAGCCAATAACTGTGTCAGGCAATCCGCTTGGTCGCCTCTCGGCGGAGAGACGACGCAACCTGCACATCAGCAGAAAAGTCCAATTCAGTCCCACTCGGAAAGGCACCGGGCGGAAAATCCACACGATTGCTAGAGAGAAGGGATTGCATGATCCCAGCAAGGAAGAAGAGGGCAAATCTAGGCAAGATAAGAAATAGTTTGCTATCATTTTTTTTAAAGTCTTTTTTGATCTGGTTTGGAGCCACATCTCTGTAGGCCTTGCTCAGTCCTCTCCCAAGCGTTATCTTTTATTCAAACACAGGTTTCTGGGAAATGAATCAGTGTTTGTTTGTTTTTTCATGATGGTGGTGGTTTTCTGCCCACTCTGTTTTCTTTAATCAGAGGCTAGTGGTGATCCATGTGGTTGGAAAGTAAGATCGAAATAAAGAAGGGAGGTTGTAGAGGTTAAGGCCTCAGTTAGAAACTACGAGGTTGGGAGTTCTAGTCCTCCCATAGCCAGGTATCTTTGGGTTATTTTCTTTCAACCCAACTGGTGACAAATAGAGAAAGGTAATTTAAGATGGTCTTTTGCGGTCAGATCTGGCTCAGCTTCTCTCATCTGCCCAGCATAGATTGCTCCAGATAAATCATCTTCCAGAAAATTGGGGGGGATGACATTTATTGTAGGGTCTCCCTCCCCATTGTGCCCCCAAAGGCAATTTCATCTCTACCTCATTTTCTTTAGAAAAACAGGTGTATTTTTTTTTCTTTTGAAGAGCATTTGGCAGGGAGACGTTTTAATACTGGACCCTAGCACTTGGAGATGGTTCTCTTTTTAGATTTGAATACAGATTTTGTTGATTGTGATGGTTTCTCCGTGTAAGGCTCCTCTGAATCAAGGCAGCATAAAAAAAAAATCTGTAATAAAGCCAATTTAAACGCCCTTTTTCAATCTTCTTGCTATCAGCTAAGAAACATAACAGCATCTCCAAGAGATACGAAGGGCATCGGGTTGGAGAGAGGTTCATCATTCTAACCGATTCTTACTGTCTCCTGGGGTCTCCCCTTCCCTTGTGATTTTGCAGCACTAGTGATGTCATTATTTCACTTAGTGACGTCATGCGATCTGTCCTTCAAAGGTTACAGGGTGAGGCCATATTTTTAACTGAATCGAGAACATGAGTCATTCAGAGTTGTGTGTGGTTGGAGAGAGGTGTATAAACGGGTTTCCTGATGGAGAAAGACATCCCAAATAGGGGGTGTGTCATTGCCGAGATTGCAAAGAGAAAAGGAAGGAGCCATTTTTTTTTAAGCCGGTCTTAATCCACAATTTATGACCTGCAGATTTACTTTTATCACACAGGGCAGGAGAAGAAGGCAATAAACTTTAGAAGGATCAGGGCAATTATGTTGGGGAATCCTAAAAAATGCATAGAGACTCTGATCCGGGTCAATAGAAGAAACTTTGGTTCCCTTTTCTTTTGCTGAAGCAATTTTTCTTCTTGCTACAGGCCAAATCCTCCTGGGAGTACCAAAGCATGGAAAGGCGAGATAGGAAAGCAAATTTATTGCAGTCATTAGGTTTCCCCGTTGTCCACCATTCTTTGCGGAGATTCCCCTCTCCATCCAAGGACCGGGGAGATTAAACCACTTTGTCCTCTTTGTTGCAGGTTGCTAGGATACTGGGGGTTACCAAGGAGACCCAGAGGCTCATGGGAGTCAGCTCAGGGATGGAGCTGCTCACCCTGCCCCACGGACATCAACTTCGCCTGGATTTGTTGGAAAGGTAAGAGTGCAGAGCGTGACAAAGCAAAAGAGGCGAGAAAGTGATGGGAAAGGGAGGGGGAACAGATCTCCAAAGTTTTTTTTTTGCCACTTCTTAAGACACAGACTTTGGCAATTTCAACGGAGCTTGCTTGCAAGTTTCTAGTCCTCAGTACTCAAAGCGCTCGAAAGCATCTCGTCGCGCGGAATCCAGCCAAGGCTGTTAACAAGACCTCTGATGGCAACTTCTTCCCGTTACGTCTTAGGTTCCACACCATGACCATCATGATCGCGGTGGATATTCTGGGGTGCACAGGCAGCATTGAGGAGCGGGCCTCTCTGCTCCACAAGACCATTCAGCTGGCGGCCGAGCTGAAGACCATGGGCAACATGTACAGCTTTGCTGCTGTGATGAACGCGCTGGAGATGACCCAGGTATCTTCCAGGAAAGCTTCAAAAGAATGGCAAAAATCCCTGGACATCTTGAAGCCTTAGAGAAACTCAGCCTAGTCTTTACTTAAGCCACACTCCAGATTCTTATTTCCCCTTATTCTTTTGCCCTTCAGATCTCCCGCCTGGAGCAAACCTGGATGGTTTTACGCCAGCGTTACACGGAGGGTGCCATTCTTTACGAGAAGAAGCTAAAGCCTTTTCTCAAGAGCCTCAACGAAGGAAAAGGTGAGCAGGGCAACTTTCCGTGTACGGATTTTTTGTACACAAGCTTGACGAGCACACTCCGTTTTTTTAAGGCGTTCAAAGAATTTGTTTGCAAATTCCCTCCCTGTGCCTTTTAATTGTGTACACCCACAATCGCGGGTGCATTCCTGTTTTTTTGTGCAAAGGGCCTTCTCGATCAGAGCTTTTCCATAAAATAAGGACAGCTGAGAGGAGGTAGGGTAGAAATGGGAGTTGAGGTGTCTTCCAGAGCTTGGTCGGCTGAAATGAAATTATCTGAATCTGCCTTTCCTTGTCTAGTAACCAGTGGCTTTAGCAGTCACTAACGTAGCCCTTAGTTTATAAATTTTGGGGAAAAATTGGAATGGGGACAACTTAGGAAAAAAGAAACATTTGTATCTGAAGAGGAGAATTTGTAGCCACTTAGATCAATAAGTAAGTAGAAGTATTAAGAAGATGTTATCCCCATCCTATCCATCTCAGTTCTGGTTTCGGTATGGTTTTAAAATCTTAGCGTCGTTTCGATATTTTAATTATGTTTCTACTTGCTTTGTAAGGCGCCCAGAGCCCCCTTATAGGGAAGATGGATGGCATAAAAATTTAATAAATAAAGGCAGAAGAGTGTGCATCCTCCACAAATCCTTCTTCTAATGTTGCCCCCAAGCCAGTATTACAGATGATGCCCGAGGAGACAATCCAAGGGAAGCTAGCATACTGCACCCCAACATTTTTTATCCAGAAAGACCCTCTAAAATTTTGAGAAGCAGAAGCCCTCCAAGGGGAAGCTGACCCTGAAGAGCAGTTACGTTGCTTGAATGACCCCATCTCTTTCTCCTTCCAGAAGGACCACCCTTATCTAACACCACCTTCCCTCACATCGTGCCTCTCATTACTCTTCTGGAGAGGGACACGGCACTGCCGGACCACCCTGAACCCTGGGAGAACCTGGACAACAGCGTGGAGGTAGTTATGGCCCATCTGGAGGCGGCACGCACGGTGGCCCACCACGGGGGACTGTACCACACCAATGCGGAGGTGAAGCTGCAAGGTAAGTGATACGGGCTGAAGCCCACCTCAAGAGGTGTGAGAATTAAGTCTCTGGGCCACAAAGGAACAGGGCAGGGGTGGTGGAGGGAGAAAAAGGAGGAGGTAGCTGGGCACTTTCAAGCAGTTAGAGAGAACACAAACCCTGCTTATTGTTAAAGAAGCAAAAATCAGCGAAATGGGGTGTTTTGTAGAAAGAGGGAGCGTTGCAAGATGGACGTGGGAAGGATTTGGCTTTCAGGGCCGTAAGAAAACGTCTCAAACTTTTAATCATTTCGGTGGGATTTCACCATCCCTAACTTTAATGTGATGTTATATATTTATGGCCCAAAGGCGTCTTGTGGCAAGCTGAATAGCAAACAAATTTAATAGCTTTGATTTTGTACCTCAGCCTAAAAAGGTCATCCGAGAAATAAGAGGGTATGGCTGGGGCCGGATCTCCAGAGAGGCAAGTAAAGCAGAGATGCTTGCAGCATCTTAGAACAGAAGCATCTTAGAACAGAAACTTGTGTATATTTATCGTGGTTTTTATTATCGCCTGTTCACCGCCCTGAGTCCCGTAAGGGAGATAGGGCGGTATATAAATTCAATAAATAAATAAATAAAGCAGGAAAGAGATTTGTAAAAAGTTTGAAAAGGAAAGAAATGTTTAGAAGAGATGCTTGTTAACCGCTAGAGGGCATTTGTTTATCAGGATCTGGATAGAAGTGCGCCCTGTGGAAATTGCAAATCCTTTCCTAAGAGTTTGGTGCCGTTTCCCCAAGCCTGAAACTACAAAACTGTTTGGTCTTGACCCAGTTGTGGCTGTAAACTCTAATTAATGGGTAGGATGTGACCTCAGCAGTGGCCATTGTGTCAGGATGTTGTGAGGGCACACAACCGATCAGCTTAACTAGTGGCGTAAGCTCTATTCACAACAAAGAATCTAAAAATGTAAATTTGTCCAGCTGGGCAGGATTTTATTTGCATTCTTGTCCCTCTGCAGGGTTCCAGCCACAACCGGAGCTTCTGGAGGTTTTTAGCACCGAATTTCAGCTCCGGCTATTATGGGGGAGCCGGGGGGCCGAAAGCAGCCAGAGCGAGCGCTACGAGAAGTTCAACAAGGTCCTCACCGCCCTGTCCCACAAACTGGAGCCAGCAGTGCGTTCGAGCGAGTTGTAGCTGGACAACAACGGGCGCAAGATTGCAACGAATGCGCCTGCAGCTTGCTTTCTGGCAGCAGTGGGTCTCGAGCGATGCTAAGGTGGTAGGATTGGACCGAGAGGGATGCAACTGGGACCCTTCCCAAAAAGGCCTTTCCAGCATGAAATACTGACAATCACTGGGTTGACTTTGTTCCTGCAAAACTTGACAACGACCGAGATCCTCCAGGCAAACCATGGAAGAGAATGCACTGGCCAAGCATGTTAGATATCAGCCATGCAGATTCGTGTTGAAGAGCTGCAGTGTGCCTCCTGAGAGAGGCAAAACTTCCGAGTTTAAATTCAGCACCGATTCATAGCTAATTTCAGGCCCAGGTTTGGTGCCTCACAGTGGGGTTTGAAACCAAGAGTGCAGGAATCTTCTCTCTGCTCCTTCTATTACTTTGAGGTTCCCCTGTTCTCTTTTCCATCGCCATGAATTGGAGAAGAGCAGTTTCCACCAGCTTTGGGGGCTGATCATAGTTTGTTTAGTGCCCCAATCTCAGAAGGACCTGGGCGACAAGGCACACCCGCAGACAGTAAGGCAGCCCCCAAATTTAGCTTTTCTATGTTCATGAGCATCTCTGATCATCGCTAACATTCAATCTACACCCAACTTAATCCATCAACCGTAAGCCTCCAAGAGTAGCCCCATGACAAGATGGATGGTAAATAAATGTAATTATAAATAAAAAAAATATCAGGTAAAGTTAGGCCACTGCCATCTTTCTTTCCAGGGATCCCCAAGTCCCAATCTCAGTCCTTCCATTGATGCCAAGTAACATTCCTTTATTTTCTTAAAGTCTCTTTTTCTTTTGCTTCCCTCCATTTTGATGCAGGGAATGAGGGTGGTTTTGTAAATTAAAAAAAAAAATCCATGTGGGGTGTATATGTATCTATAAATATATATATATACATATGTATTCAGGTCTCATATGTAAATAATTGACATGGTTCTTTTAGGTCTTGTAAATGAATGTACAGATACAATGAAGTGTCTTTCCTCGATTCTTGCATACAATAAACTTTTATGCTTTTTTTCTTCAAGTAGGCTTTATGGTGGATTTAAACAGGCTTTCTCACCGCTGCATATACCTTTTTGAAATGATCTATACAAATTTATTTGAGAAGAATGGAACAGAGCATTTTTAAAACAAGAACAGACTGGAAAATGCAATTTAGGCACATGGAGAGAATTGTCTCCAATTAGATCAAGGATAGGTTGTTTCGTGACTACATGCCTTGCCTTTTTCGACATCAAACCCTTTTCATGTCCTAAAAAATAAAAAAAATATTTCTTTCCAAGCTTGAGCTTAAAAAAGAGTAGCATTCTTTAAACCCAGTGGAGCTGACTTCTGAGTAAACCTACATAGGATGCAACCTGAAAAAGGCAAATTTCTTGTCTAAAACCCAGATTTCCGTTTTCGAAATAGAAATAGCTCAAGAAGGGCCATTACTTATTTTAAAGAAAGAAAATGCTTTCAAATTCTTTTAAGAAAACCACTGAAACCCTCAAAGAAGTCCCTTGAAATGTGAAGACAGGTTGATATTAACAAAAGCTTATTTTACCCTCGAGTAGACCTGCTTAAAATTGGCAAAAAATACCAGCAAAAACTTTTATTTTCCTCCCCAGAGCAAAACTAACCAGAATAATCAAAGCAAGCCTGAAAGTGACTAGAAATTAAAAGAGATTTCCCAGGGAGTAGTGAAATTGACTAATGAAGTTGAAATTGACTTTCTGTTGGAAATTTGACTAAATTCTAATACTAAATTCTACTAATTTCTGAACGAAAATCAGAGATGAGTTTTGTTGGGAGGCTTGATTTGGTATTTCTTAGGCCTTCTCTTGAGGAAGACCATGGTTTGTTTTGATCCTGGCTTGTTTTTGGTGCAAACATCCCCTTTTTCCTCTAGAGTTTTACATTTCCACCTGTTTTTCTCCCTTTAGCTTATTTTTCTTCTTTTATTTGCCTCTGAATTGCACTTTCAAGCATTTTTTCAGCCACTTTTCCACCTGTTTCTCCTTCATTTCTAAATAAATCCGTTTGCCTACATTTTCTTCTTTTAGCCATTCCTCTCCTCCATCCTCTCCTGAAGCCATTTTCTCTTTAAAATTCCTTTTTCTCCTCACCGCCTCCTTTCAAGCTCCTGCCTCTTCTATTCTTCAGTATTTTCTCAAACATCTTCTCATAAATGTCTTTTTTTTTTCTTTTTTCCCATTTTCCTTGAGATATTTCTCCATTTTCCTTCCTCGTAGCTTTATTTTTTTTTACTCCAAACCCAGTTTGCCTCATGACCTATTGCCCTTCCCTAAAATAAATTTAAATTAAAATAAGTTTAATCTCCCAGCCACCCAAACTTATTTTTCCCCCATTTTTCTTTAGCTCCTTTCCCTTCTTCTTTGCTTTAGAATGTATATTTTTTACATCTTAATTTCTTTCCCCCCCCTTCAAGCTTCAGCTCCCCTTCATTGTCTTCCTCGTGCTGTAATAATATTTATTTTTAATATATATTTGGTTCCAATTCTTTTTCCCCCCTCAGAAACCATTTTATTCCCGCCCCTTTTTTTGAAAAGGAAAAAAAAAAACCAAACGGGGACGGTTGGGGAGGCGGAGCTTTAAATACCTCCCCTCGGCAAGCCCCGCCCCCCGGAGCCCCCGCCCCTTCGCGCAGCGGCGTGGCGGAAGCCAGGAATTCCATTCGCTCTCCGCCTGCGAGCACGAGCCGGGCCGCGGGGCAGGCCGGGAGTGGGCCGCCGCACGAGGAGACGCGGGAGCGCGCTTCCCGACCCTCTCGCGGGCGGACAGCCAGCATGGAGAGGGGCGGGTGCGCCCTCGCGGGAACGCGGCTGCTGCTGCTGCTGCTGCTCTTGCTGCCTCTGCCGGGGTTGATGCTCTCGGGCGCCCCCTGGGGGCCGAGCGCCTGGCATTGCAGCCTGTCGGCGTCCTGCGAATGCGAATTCTGCCCTGATTTAACGGGTGAGGCTATGTAGCGGGTGGGGGATGTACTGGTGAGACCGGCCGCTGGGGGGCGCAGGGGAGCGAGTTCGAGTCCCACCCGCCCCCTCCCCATCCAGCTAACAGCCCTGCTAGGTAGGCTGGGATAAATAGAATAGCAATGAATAGAACAGCAATTATTTTTTTTAAAACAACCCCAAGGTTGAAGACCCCATTCTACTGCCCCTGTCCTACCCTGCAGGGTTGTTGTGAGATGCAAAGTGGTTCAATTTATGGGCTCTCTTTTTGGGGTCAGTTTTAAAGCCCAGGATTGGGCAAGAAGGAGGGGAAAAAGAGGAAATTGGGGGCACAGAAATAGCAGGAAGGGTGATACCTGTGCCACTGGCAGATGCCCATTTGGACCCCTCCCCTGTATCTTGGGCATCGTGGCATAGGACCTCGCCTTCTCAATACATATATGTGTGTGTATATGTATTACTATTATTGTTATTGTTTTCTTATTAATTTTGGTCATGTTTATGTCGTGTATATTGGAGGTAGTTACCTTTGAGAGCTGCATGCAATGAAATCTCATTTTAATGTATTAATGGATATTTAAAGTGACAATAAAGTTATTATTCTATTCTGTTCCGTTCCATTCTATTATTCTCTTCTCTTTTCTCTTCTCTATTCTGTTCCGTTCCATTCCACTCAATTCTATTATTCTCTTCTTCTCTTCTCCATTCTTCTATTATTCTCTTCTCTTTTCTTCTCTATTCCATTCTATTATTCTCTTCTCTATTCCATTCCATTCCATTCTATTATTCTCTTCTCTTCTCCATTCCATTCTATTATTCTCTTCTCTTCTCCATTCCATTCTATTATTCTCTTCTCTTCTCTATTCCATTCCATTCTATTATTCTCTTCTCTTCTCCATTCCATTCTATTATTCTCTTCTCTTTTCTTCTCTATTCCATTCCATTCTATTATTCTCTTCTCCATTCCATTCCATTCCATTCTATTATTCTCTTCTCTTCTCTTCTCTTCTCTCTTCTCTACTCTACTCTACTCTACTCTATTCCACTCCCCAGGCCTCGAGTGCGAGTTAGCTCTGCGCCTGGTGGGGCAGCCTCTGGCCAGGCAGCTGGTCATCCAAGGCCTGAAGAAGTTTGTGCAGGATCCCGAGCCCACCAAGCCCCTGGTCCTGTCCTTCCACGGCTCGACGGGCACCGGCAAGACCTTCCTGACCTCCCTGCTGGCCCAGCACCTCTTCCGGATGGGCCTCCGGAGCCCCTACATCCACCGCTTCTCCCCGCTGGTCCACTTTCCCCATGCTGACCACCTCCAGCAATACAAGGTAAGAGAGGCCGGAGGGGGGGGGGCGGGGTCTGTTCCCCACAAACCGCTTTCCTTTTTCTCTTCCGTGGCCACAGAGCGGCCACGCCAGCCTTGCGAGGTGGTACTTTTGCAAACCGGACAGCCCTCCGATCTCCACCATTGTTTGCTTTGCGGCCCATTTGAGCCGTATCAGGGTTGATTGGTCGGTGGCCGGATCCCAGGTGAACCCAGTCCGGTGACCCATTCCCGGACATCGGTCTATACAGGCAATTTCCGTTCCTAAGCAAGGCGTAGACTTACCCAGAGTTATAATAATAATAATAATAATAATAATAATAATAATAATAATAATAATAATAATAATAATAACAACAACAACAACAACAGCAGCAGCAGCAGCAGCAACAACAGCAACAACAACAATAATAAAAAAAGTTGGAAGGGACCTTGGAGGTCATCTAGTCCAACCCCCGCTCAGGCAGGAAACCCTATACCATTTCAGACAAACGGCTTATATTTACAAAGTAATCCCTAACCATCAGCTTCTGTATTCCAAAATCACATAATAGATTTTCTCTTCTCCCAGTAATATTCTCTTTGCCAACCTTGGATTAATACAATCCTTATTAGTTTGATAGGTAACAAAAATAAAGATTTAATTTTTCTAAAAAATTTCTACCCATAATAATCATATCAATATCACGCTTCTTTTCTTGGATCCTGTTTGCAGTTCTTATTCAAATTTATTTTCCCTACAATGTTCAAAAACGTTCTCGCGGGTTCAAATTTTCCCAAAGTTAATTACCTTAAGGTATTTAAATCTATTTTTCAGGTTCTTAAAAAAAATAAGTAAAAAAAAAAAGACACAAAAGAAAAACGAAGAAAAAGAAAAGATGAGAGAGAGAGAGAAAGAAAGAAAAAAGAAAAAAAAAGGGGAGAGAAAAATATGTCGCATTCTTCAGCGCTGGCCCTAAACTTGGATAGTGGTGAAATGGTTGTAAAGCCGCCGACTACTTAATAAACTTATAAAACAGGACTGGAAAGGAGATAGAATTGTAGGGTGTGGATGATGGGATCTGGATCTGGAGTTCCCTGCTTGGCTCATCCTGATTGGCAGCTTGTGAGCGTAGTTTTTCTTTGCCTTCCCTGTTCCAATGTTGATTTTTTCTCTCTCTCTCTCTCCCATCTTCTCCTTCTGCGTAGGACGATCTCAGAAGCTGGATCGAGGGCAATCTGACCCAGTGTGGCCGTTCCCTTTTCCTCTTCGACGAGATGGACGATCTGCATCCAGGCTTGATCGAGGTCATTGCGCCCTTCCTGGGACCTTCCTGGGTGGTGTTCGGGACCAACTATCGGAAAGCCATCTTCGTCTTTATCAGGTAACGAGGGTTGGGGGGGGGGGTTAAGACACAAGGCTGGGTGTCAAGAGTGAAAACGTGGCAGCAAGTTAGAGAAACGAAACCTGTCCAGTTCTGCAGGTTTTGAGACAGAGTAGAATAGAATAGAATAGAATAGAATAGAATAGAATAGAATAGAATAGAATAGAATAGAATAGAATAGAATAGAAAATATGGGATAGAATAGAATAGAATAGAATAGAAAATATGGGATAGAATAGAATAGAATAGAATAGAATAGAATAGAATAGAATAGAATAGAATAGAATAGAATAGAATATATGGGATGGAATAGAATAGAATAGAATAGAATAGAATAAGAAAGAATAGAATAGAATAGAATAGAATAAGAAATAAGAATAGAATAGATTGTAGAATAGAATAGAATAGAATAGAATAGAATAGAATAGAAAATATGGGATGGAATAGAATAGAATAGAATAGAATAGAATAAGAAAGAATAGAATAGAATAAGAAATAAGAATAGAATAGATTGTAGAATAGAATAGAATAGAATAGAATGGAATAGAATAAGGAATGGAATGGAATAAGGAATGGAATGGAATGGAATGAAGAATAGAATAGAATAGAATAGAATAGAATAGAATAGAATAAGGAATGGAATAGAATAAGGAAGGGAATAGAATAAGGAATGGAATGAATAGAATAGAATAGAAAATATGGGATAGAATAGAATAGAATAGAATAGAATAGAATAGAATAGAAAAGAAAATATGGGATGGAATAGAATATTTATTTATATTTATTTATATTTATTTATATTTGAATTTATATCCCGCCCTTCTCCCGTAGGACTCAGGGCGGCTGACAATCTATTTAAAATACATACAAAACAATACAAATTTAGAATAAGAAAGAATAGAATAGAATAGAATAGAATAAGAAATAAGAAATAAGAATAGAATAGATTATAGAATAGAATAGAATAGAATAGAATAGAATAGAATAGAAAATATGGGATGGAATAGAATAGAATAGAATAGAATAGAATAGAATAGAATAGAATAAGAAAGAATAGAATAGAATAGAATAGAATAGAATAGAATAGAATAGAATAGAATAAGAAAGAATAGAATAGAATAAGAAATAAGAATTGAATAGATTGTAGAATAGAATAGAATGGAATGGAATGGAATAGGAATAGAATAACAGTCTTGGAAGGGACCTTGGAGGTCTTCTAGTCCAACCCCCTGCTCAGGCAGGAAACCCTATACCATTTCAGACAAATGATTGTCCAGTCTCTTCTTAAAAGCTTCCAATATTGGAGCATTCACAACTTCTGGAGGCAAGTTCTTTCCACTGGTTCATTGTTCTAACTCTCAGGAAATTTCTCCTTAGTTCCAGGTTGCTTCTCTCCTCGATGAGTTTCCATCCGTTGCTTCTTGTCCTGCTTGACTCCCTCTTCTTTGGGGCAGCCCCTGAGATACTGGAACACTGCTATCATCTCCCTCCCGGTCCTTCTCTTTGTTAAGACTAGACGTACCCAATTCCCGCAACCGCTCTTTATAGGTTTCAGCCTCCATCCCCCTAATCCTCTTTGTTGCCCTTCTCTGCACAAAGATGCTTGGAAACTTTTCAAGGGCATTCTAACCACTGTGGAAGAAGATAGCAGACGGTTCTCAAAACGACAAGGCGTTTACATGGTCTACGTGGACATCTGGGAGGTCGTTGTTAGATACTTTGGTTAGACGTCTTGGGATTTTAGAGTTAGTTTTCCGTCGCCTATACTGGGGGTCTCCAACCTTGCCAACTGTAAGACTTGTGAACTTTAACTCCCAGAATTCTGAGAGTTGAAGTCCACAAGTCTTAAAAGTTGGCAAGGTTGGAGACCCCTGGCCTATATCAGGGCTTTTCAACCTTTTCACCCATTGTACCACTTTTAGGATATGGCAACATCTGAGTACCACCAGTGGCCTAGCAAGGTGTCAAAAACTTGATGACCCAAAAAAGAAAGGAAAAAGTGATGAACTACAGGTAGTCCTCAACTTACAACAGTTCACTTAGTGACTGTTCGAAGTTACAATGACACTGAAAAAAATACCCCCCAAGCCACAGCCGAGCAAGACACCTGCCTGCCCACCCAGTGGCGCTCTTCCTCCTGTCCGAGGTTTTCATTGTTGTGAGCATTTCTGTTGAGGATTGGCAGTGGGGGTGGGGTGGGGGGTGTTTGGTTTTTATTCCCCCCGTCTGCTGGGTGGTTGCAGCAGGTTTTGGTCACTTCACATGACCCTGGGACACTGTGACCGTCATAAATATGAATCACTTGCCAAGCATCTGAATGTAAATCACAAGACCCTGGAGATGCTGCAACATTCCAGCTGATCGGCGCTTCTTCTGGGCTCCACAGAAGCACCAGGATCAGCGCCGAGCTCCAGCTGGAGCCTGGCACTAATCCTGGCGCTTCCACTGAGCCCTGACAGCCCTGCAGCTCCAGCCATCTCTCGCTCAGGCTTGTGTGGTGCTGCCACCGGTTCAGCTCATTCCCCTCCCCTGCTACCACTTTTCTAGGATGGTCGTGTACCACCTGCCAGGTGCCAACGTACCACAGGTGGTACCCGTACCACTGGTTGAAAAGCCCTGGCCTATATCACATCGTGTATTCAATAAACCAGTAAGATATGAGAGATGTAGTACTGCTGGGCTTCAGTTGCTCTCCTCTGACTGTCTTTAGCAATACGGGCACGGAGCAGATTAACCGGATGGCTTTGGACCTCTGGCGGGACCGCAGAGACCGCGAGGAGATCAGTCGTCAGGATCTGGAAGCGTCGATTTTGGAGGCCATTTCTAAAGACCCGCAAAGTGAGTTATCTTCAGAAGGAGGGGAGAAAAAGAGGAACACTTTGGTGGGACGTTGGCGATCTACAAAACTTCCCCAAATAAAGGGCAGAGGGAGAAAAAACACCAATCCGCAATGAATTGAGGTAGTCCTCGGCATACAACCGTGATGGACCCTGCCCATTAGGGTCATAAAACGGGTCAATCCCCTGAGCCACCCAATTTCGCCACATTTTTGAAGCAGACATGGCGGTCGTAAGTATTGAACGCAAATTAAATAATGGATTTCGACAAAAACATGGCAAAACACAAGTCAATGTAAGTGCCGAACCCTAAATGACTATTGGGGGGGGGAAGGAGGAGGAGCGGGTGGAAACCTGGCTACCCAAACTTTGGATCCGGCCTGTAAGTCCTCGCTTTTTCAGGTAGGTCGTGTCTTCAAACAGTCATTAAGCAATCAGTCGTAAGTTGAAGACTGTCTCTATGCCCGTTTCGGCATTCGGCAACTCAGCGTCCGGTTTGGTAAAATTGGAGTGGCCAAGATGACCTTAATCCAGTGGTTCTCAACGTGGGGTGAATTCACATGACTGGACTTTGTTCTCTCGGCCACGTTTTGCTGTTACATTGACTATCTTTTGCAACCTGTTTTGTCGAAAACTGTCCCTTATTTGCGTTCGCACTTTGGGAAAACATTGTGAAAATTGAATTGGTCAATCAATCCATCAGGATGGAGCTGGAAGGGATCTTGGAGGTCTTCTAGTCCAGCCCCCTGCTCAAGCAGGAATCCCTATACCATTTCAGTCAAATGGCTGTCCTGTCTCTTCTTAAAAGCCTCCAGTGATGGAGCACCCACAACTTCTGGTGGCAAGCTGTTCCACTGGTTAATAGTCTTCACTGTTAGGAAGTTTCTCCTTAATTCCAGGCTGCTTCTCTCCTTGATTAGTTTCCACCCGTTGTTTCTTGTCCTGCCTTCTGGTGCTTTGGAAAATAAATTGACCCCCTCCTCTTTTTGGCAGCCCCTCAAATACTGGCATACTGCTATCATGTCCCCCCTAGTCCTTCTTTTCTCTAGACTGGCCATCCCCAAATCCTGCAGCCGTTCTCCACAGATCCTTGGGCGAGGGCACAATGTCATCATGAGGAGTCTGCAATGTCATGATTTTAAATCTCGAATTAAGTCTTGGGGGGTCCGCGGTCACGGTCCAGGGCCACAAAAGGCATTTAAAGGGGATCCCGTGGTCAAGAAAAGGTTATGATCCACTGCCTTAATCTAACTGACCTCGAAGCAAACGTAGATAGGTAGAAATTGGGGATCCCCCCTGCCTGTAACGTTAACAGTTTCACCCTCGTCCTTTTTCTCGTCTCTTTCAGACGGATTCTGGAAATCCGGGATCCTTGAGCAAAACGTGATCGACGTCTTGGTGCCCTTCCTCCCGTTGCGACAGCACCACGTGAAGCAGTGCGTGGTCAACGAGATGGCCGGCCAGGGTCTCCTCCCTCACCCGGAGGTCGTGGACGGAGTAGCCGGCAGCTTTTCCTACTTCCCCAACGAGGAAAAAATCTTCTCCTCCACCGGATGCAAAACCGTATCTTCCCGCATCCCGTTTTTCTTATGACCTCTTTGGAGACGTTTTCCCGGTCCGGAATGGAGTTTACGGTTTTCTTCCAAGTCATGACCATTTCTGGGTTCTGAAGGACCAAGGACGGGGTCTTTTTAAAGGCAAAGAATGATGCTGGCTTGATCAGACGTGATGCCCCCTTACACCTTGGCCCGGAATCCGGCTTTTTTTGAATTCTGAAGGAGAAGATTCTGTGATGCATTACGCGGGGGAAATCTTGCCTTGCTTTTAAAACACTGTTCCTCGGAACGTTTTACAAATTCCTGCCGTTAGTGCCGTTGAATTAATTCGGTTTTTTTTTTTCCTACACCTTCTTAAAATCCTACCTCTGAAGTCGAAGGATGATTCTGAAGCACCCTGTGATTTTTTTTAAATCCAATAAGCTGTATTTTACGATTCTAATTCAGGGATGGTGTGTGTGTGTGTGTGTGTGTGTGTTTTTCTCCAGGGCATTCTCTGTTGTGTCAACCAGAACTTGATGGACTGAGATGTGGCTTGTTGCTACAAGTTACACAAAATGCAGCTGCTTTTAAAAGACTTCGCATTGACTGCGAGAGACTGTTTTTCTGGGAGGTTTTGAGGAAGCACCAGCCAAAGAGAATATTTTTTTTTTTCTCTCTTCTCTTTCTTTTTTTTTTCTATGCCTCTTGGTGCAGAACAACAGACTTGAACAACTAATAATAGATTGCAATCCACCTCAGCGCGAATGCTGCTAGTTTTAAAAAGCACACTTCTAATCTTTATCACTAAAACAAAGCACAAAATAGTACGTTTACATGCCGCAAACTTGTTTTGGTCCGGCAACCCTCTGCAGGGTCGGTCTAAGTTTAGGTACCGGGTGTCTTTAAACCCAGGAAGAGATCTCTTCTACCTCCTTCGTAGAACTTTTCACCTCAGAGAGTCGACGCACGTCCTTTTTTTGAAACTGCGCCCTTCTTATCTTGAATTTATTGCTGAACTGGACATACAATAAATGTGAAAAAACCTGGACGTACCTGAAGGTCTTCAAAAGCTTGCTTTATTTAAATAAATTAAAAAAACAAAACAGGAAAGGCACAGCTTTATAAAGTCTTTTCCGAAGTCTAGAAAGAACCGCAAAAGAAATAAGCTGCAAATTGCCAATTGTTCTTTGTGGATCTTTGCAAACCCAAGGGGGGGGAGAGATTAATTCTGGTGCTAATTGCATCATCCCACTGGGTACCCCTTTTCCCTGTGGGTCTGCCACAAGTCACTCTTGAGCCCCGAAGGGATGGCATCACCCCATCACCCTTTCCAAGATTTGGGGGTCCTGGTTAGAGAAACGAAGCCTCTAGCCGAGCAAAAAAATCTGGCAAAGGGATCCTCAATTTTTTAATGGTGGATCCAGATAGTTAAAAGTTGTGGTTGTTTTTTTTTTGAGCAGGCGAGCTCCAAATGACAGGAGAAATCCTGTCCGACTCACTAGAAATTCGGGATATATGGGAGAGAAAAAGCAGAGGGGGTTTCCGTCCCCAGGGCGATGCTTCAGACAGGCCCAGAACTGACTGATGCCTTCTTAAATTTTTCTCCAGCAGAACGGTTCCTTGGGGCATTCCTTGGGGGGCAGACGAGGGCAGGGGTCTATCCAGACGGTTTTGGATTCCAGAGTTGGCTTATTTTGACGTGCTTCTTTCAGCTCCTCGTCGGCCTGCGAGACACACCGGATAATTCGACAAGTCCCACTTTCCACGCTTAACAACTTCAGTGGTAGCGAAGTTGAGGTTGTTGGCCTCTCGCCTTTCGAAATGGGCAGGGATGGGAACTCACAGCCTCCAGGCAGACCTCAACTCCCATTTCTTCTTTGACTTAAGAGAGTGGGAAGGGACCTCGGAGGTCATCTAGTCCAACCCCCTGCCGAGACAGGAGGCCTCATTACTATCCCAGACAAATCTGTTCTGTTTGGGAGCTGGGGTGAGATGGAAGGAACTGGGTCCTCGCCCCTGGGGGTGGGAGGGTCCTAAAATTACAGCCAGCCCATTTGTCTGAAATGGTGTAGGGTTTCCTGTCTGATCAGGGGGTTGGACTAGAAGACCTCCGAGGCCCCTTCCGGCTCTGTTATTCTGTTGTTAAAACAGGCCAACGGCGAAGCCATTCCAACAAAAATTGTTAAAAAAAAAAAAATTAACGAAGCAATGGGTCAGCTGATATTTGGATTAAAATGCATCCGAATATACCAAATAATTCAGCCCAGCCACAAAAAAATTTTTTATCGGGGGGAGGAAAGTTCCTTTTGTGATGTTCTCAGCTGCAAAGACCTAGATAAAAGACTAAAACATGACCACATCTTTTCTGATCCAGGGCTGTTTTCTCATTAGCTGGATCTGTGACCTTCTGCAACCCGTTAACGGTGCTGAGATAGCTATGGAAATCCCAAAGTCACCCGATATAGCTTCCCAGAGCCACATTACAGGAGAGAAGGGTGCCGTATACAGTAAATCGAATAAAACAAATAAATAAATGAAATATCTCGCTTTCCTTCCCAGGGGCAGAGGTACCTGCTGCGAATGTTGCTGACATTCGGCCAGTCTCTTTTGCAGCTTTTTTTCTTCAGAAACCACCTCCTTCTCCTCTTTGGCTGCTGGCTCCTCAGCCTTCTGTTGGTCCTCGATCTGAACATACACGTTGGTTGGGAGTTCGGATCCTGCCGATTTCAGAGGCCTGGAAGAAGGTGGAAAGGCAGAGAGAGAAAGAGAGAGAGAGGAGAGAAAGAATGAGAAAGAGAGAGAGACAGGAGAGAGAACGAGGGAGGAGAGAATGAGAGAAAGAACAAGAGAACGAAAGAACGAGAGGAGAACAAGAAAAGGGCAAAAGAAAGGAAGGAGAATGAGAAAAGAGAATGAAAGAAAGGAGAAAGGAAAGAATCAGAGAGGAGAGAACAAGAAAGGGGCAAAAGAAAGGAAGGAGAGAAAGGAAGGAGAACGAGAGGAGAAAATAAGAGGAGAAAAAGAGGAAAGAGGAGAGAATGGAGAGAGAAAGGGGAGAGAATGAGAGGAAAGAAAGAAAGAGAACAAGAGAAAACACGAGGGCGAGAATGAGAGGAAAGAAAGAAAGAGAACAAGAGAAAACACGAGGGCGAGAATGAGAGGAAAGAAAGAAAGGAGACAGGAGAAAGGAGAGAAAGAAAGGAAGTATGAGAGGATGAGAGAAAGAACGAGAGGAGAAAGAACGAGATAGAAGGGAAAGAGAACGAGAGACAGAACAAGAGAAAGACGAGAGAACAAGAAGGGCAAAAGAAAGGAAGGAGAACGAGAGGAGAGAATAAGGAGAAAATGAGAGGAAAGAAAGGAGAGCAAGAAGGGAGAGAATGAGAGGAAAGAGAAAGAAAGAGAACAAGAGAAAACACGAGGGCGAGAATGAGAGGAAAGAAAGAAAGAGGAGAAAGGAGAGAAAGGGAGAGAAAGAAAGGAAGTATGAGAGGATGAGAGAAAGAACGAGAGAGGAGAAAGGAGAGAACGAGATAGAAGGGAAAGAGAACGAGAGACAGAACAAGAGAAAGAGACACACCCATACCCAGAGCACCTTCAACACTTTTGGGGACACCCCTTGTGCGAGGCGGCAGGGCGGATTCTGCCAAACACCCTGAAATTTATCCTCGTTTTGTATCGACCGGACCTTGATTGGACTGCTCTTAATTAAGGGATGCCGGTGCTGAAAACGAACGCAAGGCCCCCAAAGGGATTGAGATTGCCCAGAAGCAAACGGGCCCGTGCGTGTATGTGTGTGTGTGGTGGTGGGGAAATCTCCAGCCCTGCAGACTACAACTCCCATCTGCTCCGGCGTGGTTGCAGAGTTTACTGGCCCGAAGGCCGAAAGGCAAGACAGAGACCGGTCCCACCATCGCCCTCCCGACACCGGATAAAAAAAAAAATTCTTGCTTGGCGGACCGAGAACTTCCTGGCTGGCCACGGAGGAGGGGGAAAATGAGATGGGTTGAGCGACCCCCCCCCAAACAGGTCTGCCCCCCCCCCTAAAATGCTATCAACCTCCCCATGGTTTTTGATTCAATACCTGCCCTCAGGGAAAGCGTTGAGCTTTCGATCCAGGAGAGTTTTGGTCAAATCTCCCACTTTGCTGCCGAGGAGGGATTCGGGGCTCTCTCCGGGAAACAGATTGCCCATCAGGGTCCGGACCTGGAATTCAAAAATAAATCACTTTTTTTTTAAATGAAAAATGAAAAACCATACTCGAAATGGAGACGCTTCTATTGCACCCGTGGAGGTGTCCTTACAAAATTGGGTTTTTGTTTTTTTGTTTCAGTGTAGTGTTTCTTACTCTCCGCTGCTTTAAGGGCTGGGACTTAAAGCTTAAGGTGGGTGGACTTCAACTCCCAGAAGCCTTAAGGTGGGTGGGTTTCAGCTCCCAGAATTCCCCAGCCAGCATGCTTTTAAGATAGGTGGACTTCAACTCCCAGAAGCCTTAGGGTGGGTGGATTACAGCTCCCAGAATTCCCCAGCCAGCCAGCCAGCCAGCCAGCATGCTTGAAGACTGGTGGACTTCAACTCCCAGAATTCCTAACCTCTTCAAAGTTGTTGAGATCAAAAAAACTGGCACGGAAGCGGAGATGGATAGACTAACATTAGAAATGAAAGAAAAAGATGATTCAATTTATTTTAGAACCTGGGAAATTTTTTTATCAATGGTTAGAGACACGTTAGAGCTTGAAGGATTCAATATTCTGGAATAGATGACTGATTTTTAATCGAGTTCTAACTAACATTGTGACGATATGATCATTTCTCCCGATTTATTGACTTTCATTTCTTACTTTTGATTGTTAGGATTTTCTGAGATTTTATTAGTAGTGTTTACTGAATAGATCAAACATATTTGTTTACTAATTGTTTTTAATATGTTATAGTCTTGGCTTTGGTAAAAATGGTTGAATATGATATTTACTCATTCTTATGATCTGGACGGTAGCTTGTTTGTTGAAATATGTGACTGTACCTATCCTTATTTTACCCTAATCCCTTACTCCCCTTCCCTTCCCCTTTCCTTCCACCCCTCCCTTTACCATACCTGTATTGTTCCTATTTTTCCTCATTTATATAAACTTAATAAAATTTTGCTAAAAAAAAAAAAAACTGGCAC